ACTGCCTGCCCCACCCCAAACCCAGGAGCCACTGCCGGACATGCTGACCGCTTCCGAGAGCGGTGCAGGGCCAGGGTAGGCAGGGAGCCTGCCTTATCTCCACTGAGCTCTGCTGCCACCCCTCGAGGTAAGCGGCACTGGGCCGGAGCCCAAACCCCTCCTGTATCCCACACCCCCTGCCCTGAGCCCCCTCCCGCACCCCAACCCCCTGGCCTGAGCCCCCCCTGACCCCGCATCCCAACCTCTTGCCCTGATCCCCTTCCTGCAACTGCACCCCCTCCCGCACGCCAACCCCCTGCCCTACATTCATGGCCCTGCATACAATTTCCCTCTCCAGATGTGGCCCTTGGGCCAAAAAGTTTGCCCACCCCTGCTTTAGGCGCTCTTTATCTCTGAAAATCTGCTCATTGGATTACTTTAAACTGCAAAAACATCCCACAATCCCCCACAATTTGGAAGAAAAAACAGGGGCATGTGTCAGGAGACAGAAAAATGCAGGTTAAGAGGCAACAGTCAGACAGGATGGGGTTAGAATTTTTTAGAATGGAAAAATTTCTCCCCCACCCTCACGGACCTCCAAGAAAACTGATGGGATTTTGCTCCAACTTTCTGTAAAATTCACCTTCCTTCAGACACCGCACATGGAAAATTTTAGTCCAAGAAGCAAATATTTCAGAAATTTCCCATAAAGGTGTTTGAAGACGGGGGTCATAATGGAAACTGTTTTGCCTAGGTGCCTGTTAACTACTCTCCCACCCGGCCAGCAAATGGATGATAAAAGGTCAATCTTGATTTGGTTTTAAACCTTAATGGAAGACTTATTGTTTAACTATAAAGAACTATGTAAGTTGATATTACACTGCATTTCAAAGGATACTGTGCTGATGTCACCCATATCCTTGCTGAAAAAAAGCTTCCAGTTTTGCTCAGTGCAATGTTCTGAAGGCTATGTGATACAAAGAGCTTCACGGCAAGTGAAGTTAAATTATCAACTGTATTTGAAATTATATTAAAAAATTAAAGCCAGAATTTGAGCCTCTTGTTAGTGGCCACTGAACTACAGAAGAGAAAAAGGGCATCATTTGAGACAGCTAGGGACAAAGCAGCAGGGTAAGGTTTCCAGGGTGGGGACTGGGATAGAGCAGCAAGAAAGAACATCTGGTAGAGGGGGAGGGGAGACAGGAGGACCAGAGCAGCAGGAGATGCAACAGGGAGTGGTGGGGGGAGGGTAGAGAGAGGAATGTAAAGCAGCTGTCAGTTTGTTGACCGTGATTAGTTACAAACATATTTATCTCAGTTCACAATACATGATATTTCTATCAGTGTTTGATCATTCTTTGCACACATTACATTCATTGCCTTTTTTTTTTTTAAATAAAAAGATATAAACCCTCATTTATCCCCCTGCTCCTACCTGACACTTATGAGGTCTCTCCGACGTGTGCACCTGTTTGATGTGCCCATTCAAGTGGTCTGGCCTTAAAAAATATATATATGTATTTATATATGTATATTGACACACACACACACACACATATATACTTGAAAACAAACATTAAAAATAGAAGCCACTATTGCATCCATTCCAAGAAAAGTTCTCTCTGGTGTGTCTGGGCTCCAGTTCATTCAAACAACCCATTACATTTTACTTCTGGAGACAAAGATCAGAAACAGTCAGAGCTCTACCCTGATCAATATCCTGCCATCCCTCTGCAAGGAAATACTGATCAGAATAAGCAGGAGATCTAGGTCAAATTTTTCATACTGGGATGCCTACAGTTGGACTTCTAAATTCATATTTAGACACCTAAATCAAAGTGATCTCAGTGTCAGAAGTGCTGAGCATTTTAAAGTCAGGCCACTTTGATTTAGGTGTCCAAATATGGATTTACAAAACCAACTTTAAGCACCCCAGTATGAAAATTTTGGCATGACATTCCACTTTTGTCTTTCAATTTCTTCATATATAACATGGAAAAAATACTGTCCTACCTCACAACTATGCTGTGAGGCATTATTAACATTTGCAAAGTACTTTGAGGGCCTCAGCTAGAAGATGCTGTAGAAGAGCAAATTATTATTGAAAGAAGTTAGTCCATTCCCAGTGATTGGTAAAGCTTGTTTTGAAGGAGGGAAGCCTGAATAGCTAATGATTTTCCCAGTGGGTGCTTCTCTGGGTGGAAAGAAAGCTTTTCATTGTATGAGGCCAAACCTGCTTGGAAACTAGTTCTCCAACTCTCCTCCCCCAACTTTCTAGTCTCAGCCAGTCAGAGAGAGCTGAGTGGAATTCAGTTCTGGAGACTGAAGACGGAGTTAAATCCACAGTTAAGCTGTTAAACCTGATGCCTGGGCAGGTGCGCTGGGGCTATTAAACTGGAAAGACTAATCAGAGGTTTAAACTCCTAGTACATACCTATGGACTTCAGGGATGCCCCCTGAATCAATCCTTGAACTAAAGGCATACTGTAAAGTTAAACGTCACACTTCTGTCTGATTTATTTTGTTTACACACTTTTGTATAACACTTAAGATTACTAAAACTAGAAGACTAGAGAAAAAAAAAGATTCTCTATTTTTCAGTTTTTTATTTTACAAAAGCATGCAGACATTTTCACTGTTCCCCCTTTAACATTAGGCCCTGTTTTTCTGAACTCAATGGGAACACTGAATTTTCAGTACCTTGGAGAATTAGTCAGTTACTTTATTTTAGGCGTGGAAGTCTTTCAGTACAGCAACAGCAGGGAGATTTTTCTTTTATTAAAGTGTGATTGGAAAATAAAAACTGGCAGGGGATCTCAGGGGCAGGTACAGGACGTGAAAATACCTTTATCTTCTCATGGTGACTAGATTTCAAGTTGACGCTGTTTCTGTATCAAGTTTTTTGTCTTAAAACATTCCTGAACTTGCCAGTTATTGGCGAGCTCATCTTTATCACTGATTTTGTTCGTTTGTATAGCAAAAAGCCCTTGTCCTTATTACCAGAGCAGATTCAGCAGGGTCAAAGGTTTTTAAGTTTCTATTCCTGGGGTATCTTTATTGAAAGCAGAATTCTACTGCTTACTGGTTAACATCTCAGTTCCTTCTCACCAGCCAGGGCAAGTGAAAGAGCTCAGATCCATTAACTAGGGATGTTGTAGAAGTAGGAAGGCTGGTGTTGACTCTTTTCCCTTATCTACCCTATCCTCAAATTGAACACTGAACTTGAGAAGGACCCAAGTCTCAAATTCATTCCTGAACTCAAACCACAAGATACACACAAGCCATATTAAGGCAGTATCAAAGATCTACTTGTTTGTGGGAGTTCACTTAAGTGACAACAAATATCAGCCACATTAAATGCACAGATCTTATGTATACTGCAGTGTAGAAACAGGATCCCCTTCAGGATGCTGTAAACACAAAGGACACAAAGACCATGTGTTAAAGAGATAGCTGTTGCCACAGACTTGGAAATATCAACTCTTCACTCCATTTATCCTAGTGTGTAATCACCCAGATATGAATGAAGTTAAGACAATGAAAATGTAGACTGTTAATCAGAAAAAAGTCATTTTAAGATCTATTAATAGTTTGCACTTCAATAGCAACTTGCAGTGGAGGGCTTCAAATCACTTCACAACCCATAATTAAGCCTCTGAACACCCAATTATTTCAATACCCATTTCACAGAAGGGTAACTTGCCCACCATCACGACAAAACTGGGAATGTTACCCAGGACTCATCCAACTCCCCATTTTGTGATTTAATTACTAGTTAACTCTTTTACAGAGCTGTAAAATAGTCTCCCCAAGAAAGTGATGAAAGTCCCATTCCTTGGGGTACTTAAAACTAGCAGCGTAGGATTCTACACTGGTCCTCAAGAGGTAGACTAGATAACCTTCTGGGTCTTTTCCATTTATGATTCACACCAGTGTCCTCTTACCTGGAGAAGCCTTTTCCACAACTCTGGCAGATGTAGGGCTTTCCCACAGAGCCATCGTGAGACCGAACATGATAGGACATCCTGTCTTTCCGCTTGAACCGTAGCCCACACACTGGACAAGAATATGGCTTCTCGCCGGAGTGCGACAGCTTGTGCCGATTCAGGTGGTACACGTCCCGAAAAATCTTGCCACAGATCTCACAGGCCACCTGCTTCCTTGTCCTGCTCCTCTTTCGGGGGGCGTCAGGATCGTCCTGACCAGGCACCCCGTTTTCACCAAGCCTTGGCGGTGGGATGTCTATGTAACCCAACTGTAAGCTGGTCACCCCATGCTGAGCCTCATGCTGCCGCAGACGATTGGCGTCGGTAAACACTTTCCCACAGAGGCCACAAGGAAGGATGCCAGCCTCTCGCAGGCCCCCTGGGGTACCAAACATCATAGAGTCCAAGAGGTTTGCTTTGCGGGGACGCCCCCTGCCCCTCTTGGTGCCCAAAGTGGGGGCACTGGTGCCCACGTTCTGGAAGGGCGAGGCCAGCAGGGGTGGCGACAAGGGTCCCGCCACCATGGGCAGGCGGTCGACGCCTTGCAGGACGGGCAAGGAGGACTGGGCGGCGGTGAGGGCGGCCCGCGTGGCCTCGTCTTCGGGCATGCCGGCGATGCCGTTGCCATTGGGCGCCAGGCCGGCCCCGTTGGTCATGTCGAGGGGGAAGCCCAGGTCGGCGGCGCTGGGGCGGAAGAGCATGATGTCCGGGCGGGCGGGGGGCACCAGGATCTGCACGTTGGACTGCTTGATGACCTCCTGGCAGATGTCGATGACGGAGCGCATGAGGAGGAACTTGGCGGCCGTCATGAGCTCGGGGAAGCTCTCCAGCCGCACCACGATGCGCGAGGTGTAGGCGAAGTCCAGGATGTCCCCGAAGACCTTGGAGCTGATGGTGTGCATCTCCAGCTCCCGCCCGCCCGCCGCCGGCCCGCCGCCCCCGCCGGCCCCGGCCTCCGCGGCGCCCCCTTCCGCGCCGCCCCCGCCGGCCCCCTCGCCCAGCTGCGCGCTGAAGACCGACTCGAAGTACTCGCTGCAGGCGGCCAGCACGGCCCGGTGCGCCGGGAAGCTCTCGTCGCCCACCCGCAGCAGCACGTCGCAGAAGCGGCCGCCGTTCTTGCGCTGCTGGTTGAGGCTGTGCAGCATGTCGGCGCTGTGCCGGCTCACCTGGTAGGTGTAGCAGCCCGACGACGGGCCGCAGGCGGCGGCCTCGCTCACCCGCTCCATGGGGCTGCGCTGCCCCCGGCGGCCTGCAGGCGGCGCTGGCTCTCAGGCTGCCCGGCGGCGCGCGCCGCTTCCTCCCCCTCCCCGCGGCTGTCCGGGCCCGACGGCGGCGGCGGCGCGCGCTGCCTGCAAAGCGCGAGGGGATTGGGGGGGGGAACAAAAGGCTGAGGCGGCGGAGGGGCGCGCGCGCAGCACGGAGCTCGAGCGGCAGCAGCTGAGGCGGCGCGAGCTCGGCCCGGGCCCGGCCGCCACGAGGCGCGGAGGCCGCAGCGGGCCGGGGCGCGCGGCGCGGCTGCAGCGGGCAGGGCGGGAGGGGGCTCCGGGCTGCCGGCTCCGTCCGTCCCTGTGTGTTTGGAGCGGAGGAAAGATGGCAGCGGCTGCACTTCCTCTTGCACTTTCACCCCTGGGGGGGAGGAGAAGGAGGGGGGCGATACCACCCCCCCCGACAAAAATCCAGCGGGGGCCCCCCGGCTGCTGTTCCCCGACCAAGCGCCGCCGCCGTCGGGCCCGGCCCCGGCCCCGCCTGCCTCGCTGCACCCGCACCAGGAGCGCCGGAAACTTTCCTCTCTTCTGGGGTTCTGACGCCCCCCACCCTTTTCATAGAGACCCCCCCTCCAGCCACTCGGGCTCCCCCCACCCCCCCGCTTCCTGCCCCCTCCCTCCCTGCATCCGCCAATGCAAGAGCAGCCAGAGCCAGCAGGCCAGCCCCCACCCCGCCCGCGGGGGCTGGGGGCTGCAGCCTCCCCCCTCCCCAGCTGAGATCCTCCAATGCCGAGCCAGGAGCAAGGCCCCCGCCCGAAGCATATGGGGGGAAGGGGGCTGCACTCACCCCCTCCCCCAAACAACCAGGCTGCAGCTCGCCCCCCCTATCCACCCCGCCCGCAGGAGAGAGGACGGGGGGGGGCAGCGGTCTCACCCCCCCGCAAGCGCAAAGCGTCCAATGCAAAACCCTCCCTCCTGGACTCGCTGCAGAGCGGCCCCCACCTATTCTCCCCACGCCTGAGGAAAGCTAATCCTAAAGGGACCAAGGGCTGCAGGGAGAACAGCCCCCCCCTTCACCCCACGCACTTAGACCTTCACTGTACCCCCTTCTCTGCCTGGGCAGGAAAGCTGGGCACAAGGATGGGGGGGAAGAGACAAAAACGAGTACAGGAGTTCGCTCCCAACCCAGGGCAAAATCCCTCCTGAGCCGAACAATTGGGGAAGCGCTGCCCGGGGGCGGGGGGGGGAGCTGCACGAGGCAGCCGATTACACAACCCCGCGTCCCTCCATGTTGGGGAAACCGGGACTGCCCCGGTTTAGCTTTGTACTGACCATTGGGATCGTGGAGCTGAGCAAGCCCCAAGATCCGTTCATGCAAGGCTCCCTCCACGGTGAGGCTGGGTTCCTCAGGCCCTGAGCTCTCACTACTTTGGTTTAATAAGGGGCTTTCTCTGGACTGGCTTCCTTCTGCCCTCAGGGTCTCTCCACGATAAAATCCTATTTTAATGGCTTCATAATAATTCAGTTCTGGATTAAATTTGACTTGTTCGGTCTTGGTGTGGGAAGCAACAGCAGTTTGTATTTGCACATGTTCCCCCTACTTCCACCACTCAGTTCACATTTTGTTCTAAGGAAGTATTTAAAAAGTCACAGGCTTCAAGTGTACTCTTCTACACTTGTGAAATTGAATTCGATCTGGTATTAAAAACATTCCCAGATGATCAATTGATAATTATGGTTTCTTCACTTAAAATGTTATACTGGGGAAAATATGGAACTTTGTTCACACAAGAACATCCCAAACTTTCAGTTTTTTTCCCCCAAGAGCTCAGACCAAAGCACATGTATAAAATACTGGTGGAGCTGAAAGAGCATTCTGGGTATTGATGTGCAAATGAGCACACCAAGCTTCCAACTTCCAAAACAGAGTTATTGTAATAACACTTAAGGCCATATAGTGCCCTCAATCCGTGTGCTGTATTTCTGTTGATGTCAGTGGGAGTTGCTTGTCTACACTGAAGGCAGAGAATTGTCAGTGTAGCTTTTTACCACTGGATCAAGGTTTGTGTATATTACATATAAACACATGCAGTTAGGCGATTTGACTATTTGGATTCAACTGTGACAAATCCACTTTAAATATTCACATGTTGCATAGATACTACATGCTAGTAATATTGTTCTCCAGATCTGTTTGCCAGTCACAGAAACAAGAGTACTCAATATAGTGAGGAAAAAATATTTGTATTTAAGTATACATGTCAGGCAGCAATTCACAGGCTTCACACACACAGTGCAAAGATAATCAGGAACTCACTATCTTTTCTGGTGAGTTTTAGTCAGTTCTGTGTCTTTTCCCCTGTGGTTCTGTTGGTTTATTTTTCTTTTTGCTTTATTCAGCTCCCTATTCCCTGACACGGTTCTTCTCACCCGGCTTCCTATTAAGGTTCCCCCCCTGCCTTTTCTTTGTCTCTCCTCCTTAAGGGGGAGGGGAGCTGAATTCCTGCTGCTGACACTCCACTTTCTTCAGAAGACCTTTCTCCAACTCCCATGGAACCTTCTGGTTCCAACATTCCATCTCTTCCGGCAAAGGGGCATCACCCAAAACATGCTTCCTGTTATTTGTTCGGAAAGTTAAATATTCAACTCCAAAGTGTTGTTATTTGTGGAAAGTGAAGCCAGTCATTCTTTCCATTAAATAGTGCACTGGATTAGCATTCTTCATACTCATATTCTAATTAATGTATCTTGCCTCTTAAAAGAAAAGGAGTACTTTAAAGATCATCACCTGCAGCCTTCTGCAATCCCAAGAGCAGCACAGAAATTTAACTGGTATCTTCACCTCTTTTACATGACAGAGGTTACTCTTGCAGTGTTAAGGCTGAGATCTAATCTATTTTATTTTCATCCTGTCACTCTTAATACCTTGGCCTTCATATATTTATGGTCTCTCCAGCTGTTAAAGCACCACTCATAAATACCCTCATGTAAAATGTAAAGCAGTTTATTCTTAATGCTAATATAGATTTAAAATACATACATGTTCTATCTCTATTTAACTTGATCACTTAATTGCTACTCAAGTTAACTTTATCCCAAGCTTGTTCTGTCCCAAACATAAACATATACAATCACAAGCCATCAACCTTCCCCTCCCTACCTTATAGTCCCCCCACCCAATCCTCCATCTGATCAACTGTCATTTCCCAACTGTCTTGGAGCTTTCTGAATCCAATATTTTATTCCCTTTATTAAAGGCATATCATCCACAAAGCTGCTTTCTTGCTGTTTAAACCAGAATAAACCCAAAGACTGAAGATTCAGAGGGTGGTGGGGGGAGAGAAAAAGAATATTGCTATCGATAGATGATTAATACTTAAATCAGTTAACAAATGCTCCATACATTACTTGTTTTTGTGAGCTTTGCACTTATTTATTAGATAAATATGCTTTTAATTAAAAGGATTCACCACTCACAGTAGAATAGATACTTGACCCATTTACATTGCTTTCTATGTATTTTTAATATTTATAAGAGTTCATACGAGACTACAGTGTCTGGCCATGACAGATTTATTGTATCAACATTGGAAGGTTAAATATATTTCAGGCTACCTCATTTAAGATGCAATATGTACTATTAGATTGTAGCAAATTAGCTGTTGAATAAGGCATGTTTGATAGAATTTAACTCCATTTCTTAAAATTTATATTTAAGACAAGTTGAGCATTATTGGCCTGAGACTTGGAAGACTGAGTCCTTTATTCTTGAAGTGGTGGCTGCAATCTACCTCCCCACACCACATCGTGTAAGTACCTTATTTGAAGTATTATCATCCTGTAACTTGTTTACCTTCATCAGAACCAGCAAATTACTGGTTTGGTGATAATGTACTAATTGGAGTACAAATAACTAGTTTTATATTTAAAGGGTTCACACCCACCTTCAGTGCAGGGAGTTCACTTGCTTTTCCAGGTTGATCTCTCAGTCCATTTAAAAGAAAAGGAGTATTTGTGGAAAAAATAAGAAAAAGAAAAAAGAAAAGAAAAAATAAGCTTTCATGAGCTACAGCTCATCCGATGAAGTGAGCTATAGCTCACAAAAGCTTTTGCTCAAATAAATTGGTTAGTCTCTAAGGTGCCACAAGTACTCCTTTTCTTTTTGCGCATACAGACTAACACGGCTGCTACTCTGAAACCTTTCTCTGTCATGTTCTCCCTAAATCTCTCTTTCTTGATTATGTTATTTATTTTTTGTTCAATATCTTTTTGTCAGCAGAAAAAATTCTTCTCATCCACTTTATCCAGCTTTTCTCTGTTGCTCTCTTCCTGCTCCTATGTTGTCCCCACATCTTTTTTTGATGATTTTTTCTCTTTAGGTGCCCAGTCCCCAATCAAGCGCTATATCTTCTATTTGAATTGTAGCACACAGGAGTTTTATTAGCTTTTTAATAATAAATATAGTCTTAGCACATTTCCCAGTGGCCCAATTCCTGGTCACTTTACTCACACAGGTGTACCCATTAAAATCAATGGGACCCACTAATGTAAATAAGGCGGGTAGAATTGGGTCCTGCTGGGTGACGAAGGGCTTAATCCTCTCAAAGAGTTGTGCATCCTCAACTTTCATGGCTTTTGAGAATGCTCTGCACCTTGTGAGGTTGATTCAGTTATGATAACCTTTAAGTTAGTTAGTTGGACATTGTTCCACATGGATTACAACATGTTAGTGGAGTAATCCCTAACAGACAATTGAGTAATTTATAATAATGAGTAGTCATGTGACTTGTTTACTTTTTAATTCTGTTTCACTGAACTATATAGTAAGTATTTAGTTTACTATATGGTGACATATTTTCACTTTTAGTAACTCATTATATCTTTCCTGAGTTTTCAGTGAATTTAACTCCTGTCAAATACCACTGTTCTAATGGGCAATGAATTCAGCATTCATTACTTATTAGTAGGGCCCTACCAAATTCATGGCCATGAAAAACATGTCACCGACTGTGAAGTCTGATCTTCCCCCATGAAATCTGGTCTTTTGTGTAAAATCTGGAGCTTTTACCCTCTACTATACAGATTTCACGGGGGAGACCAGTGTTTCTCAAATTGGGGGTCCTGACCCAAAAGGGAGATGCAGGGGGGGTCACAAGGTTATTTTAGGGGGGTCACGGTATTGCCACACTTACTTCTGCGCTTCCTTCAGAGCTGGGCGGCTGGAGAGCAGTAGCGGTTGGCAGGATGCCCAGCTCTGAAGGCAGCACCCCACCAGCAACGGCACAGAAGTAAGTTTGGCAATACCAGGCCATCCTTACTTCTGCGCTGCTGCTTGCGGTGGCTCTGCCTTCCGAACTGTGCTCACAGCCAGCAGCCGCCGCTCTCCAGCTGCCCAGCTCCGAAGACTGCGCAGCCACCAGCAACAGTGCAGAAGTAAGGGTAGCAGTACCGCAACCCCCCCCCACAATAACTTTGTGTCCCTTGCACAGCTCCTTTTTGGGTCAGGACCCCTACAATTACAACACTGTGAAATTTCAGATTTAAAGAGGTGAAATCATTAAATTTATGATTTTTTAAATCCTATGACCATGAAATTGACCAAAATGGCCCCTGAATTTGGTAGGGCCCTACTTATTAGGCTGATTGTCACTTTATTTGTATTACCGTGGCACCAGGACCCCACTGTGCTAGGAACTGCACAAAGAGAACTAAGAGAATCCTTGGCCCCTAACAGCCTAGTTTTAGAGGTTACTGTGAGTTCATTATTTTTTGACAGGGAGGCATCCCATGGGAATGCTGATCCAAAGAGCAAGGGTTCTCAAGTTCTGTGGTATTGTGGATTGCATCTTAATACTGATGGTGGTTGGTGGTATACCAGCCCTCTTATTCACAAGCATGTGAACAGTTCTTCCCATTCAAGAGGGCATAACATTTCTGTGACAACTTTAGCAATTGTTTACATGGATTACCTGTTCTGTTCATTCCCTCTAAAACACCTGGCATTTCCCACTGTCCGAAGATGAGATACTGGACTAGATGGACCTTTGGTCTGACCCAGTATGACCCTTATTCTTGAAAAGTAACTGGGAGTATATGTAGGTATTTTAGTTGTCTTTAATGTGGTAAAAGTTCTTTTGAAAAATGTTAATTGCTTGTCTACTTTTGCTCTTTTCCATATCTTCCATTTATCCCCTGCCCTTGCTTTCACTGCACATGTTTCTTAGCTGGCTGATTTTGGTCTCCTTATTAAACTCTATACACTCCTCTGGAATTTGGTTCCTTCCTTCCCTGCTTCTTGGTTGAATCTCTAGATGCTACTGTAATACAGATAAATTGGTTCTACATTTTCTGGATTCCAGAGAATTTGGACTATATGGAATAAAAATAAGAATGGAAAACATTAATTTTATCAGTCCTATTATGCTTCCTAAGGTAAAGGGAAGGAATAAGTGTCTGATTAGGTCTTTCTTAAAGAAGTTTGAAAAACTTAATACTTTTGTTGAAAAGAGGGTATTTGAATGTATTAATATTCTTAGAACTTTGTTTTCCTGGATTCAAAGTCCTGTATTCTTAATGGTGGGTGTCTTATTGTCAATCTTAATTTTACTTATTTTGTATCCAGAAATTAATGTGAATGTGTGACAGGTAGATTGCTGGGACATGTATTTTAGTGATGTATAGTCATGTTGGTGCTTATAGAAATTTCTTATAGCAGTATTTCTCAAACTGGGGTCCCCAAGGGTACTCCAGGGGGTCCATGGGCACCACTGATCAACTCCTTCCCCTCTCTCCCAGTGCCTCGTTCACACTGGGGAACATTCCAGCGTGAAGGAGGTGCTGGGAGGGAGAGGGTGGAATAGGGAACCTGGTTCCGCGCCGTTCCTGGAAGCGCCCAGCATGTCCCAGCATAGGGCTGAGGGGAGCAGGGGGGGTCTCCGCACGCTGTCCCCAGCCTGAGTGCTGACTCTGCAACTCCCATTGGCCGTGGTGCCTGCAGGCAGGGGCAGCGTGCAGAGACCCCTTGGCCCCCTGCCTAAGAGCCACTGCCAGAGGGATGTGCTAGTCACTTTTGGGAGCTGTCCGAAGCAAGCGCTGCACCCCTCACCACCTCCCGCACCCCAACCCCGTGCCCAGCACAGAGTCCGCATCCAAACTCCCTCCCACACTCCACCCCTCTGCCCCAGCCCTGAGCCCCCTCTCGCACCCAAACTCCCTCCTGCACCTCACCCCCCTGCCCGAGCCCTGAGCCCCCTCCCACACCCAAACTCCCTCCCAGAGCCTGCACCCCCTCCTGCACCCAAACTCCCAGCTCAGAGCCCGCATGCACTCCTGCACCCAAACTGCCTCCCAGAGCCCATACCTCACACCCCATCCTGAACCCAAACTCCCTCCCAGAGCCCACACCCCCTCCCCGGAGTCCTAAAGTTTGAGAACTGCTGCACTAGAGCATTGATTGCAAAACCTTTTTACTCTCAAATGCCCCAAAATCTGATCTGACATGACCATGAGTGGCCATCTTAGATACAAACATTCTCTTTCTCCCGGTGTTCCGTCCTCCCTTCTTTCCTCACTTTATCCCTCCTTTCTGTGCTTCCAAAAAGTCTAGAGTGGAAAGGCTCTATTTTCAGTTACCTGAGTGGAAGGAACCAGTTTTTAAATCTGATCTCTTCATTTAGTCCCAGAGTGACCAGATTTAAAAACAGGAATCCTGTAGCAGAGATGGGAATATAATAGGATTGCCAACTTTCTACTTGCCCTGCCCCGCCTCCCGAGGCCTTGCCCCTGCTCACTCCATCCCCCTGCACCCCATTGCTCACTCTCCCCACCCTCATTCAGAAATGAGGAGTTCAGAGTGTGGGAGGGGGCTCCAGGCTGAGGCAGTGGGTTGGGATGCGAGAGGGGGTGAGGGCTCTGGCTGGGGGTTTGGGGTGCAGGAGGGGCTCCGGGCTGGCAGGTAGAGCCAAGGGGTTTGGAGCATGGGAGGGGGCTCTGGGAAGAGGCAGGGGGTTGAGGTGTGGGAGGAGGTACGGGCTCTGGCTGGGTGTGCAGGTTCTGGGGTGGGGCCAGAAATGAGGGGTTCAGGTAGGGTGACCAGATTGCAAGGGTGAAAAATTGAGACGGGGGTGGGGATAATAGATGCCTATATAAGAAAGAGCCCTGAATATCGGGACTGTCCCTATAAAATCAGGACATCTGGTCACCCTAGGTTCAGGGTGCGGGAGCTGGCTCCGGGCTGGGGCAGGGGGTTGGGGGGTGAGGGCTCCAGCTGGGGGTATGAGCTCTGATGTGGGGCTGGGGATGAGGGATTTGGGGTGCAGGAGTGGGGTCTGGGGTGGGGATGAGGGGTTCAGAGTGCAGGAGGAGGCTCTGGGCTGGGGCTTGGGGCACAGGGATGTGTGAGGGCTCTGGCTGGGGGTGCAGACTGGGGTGGGGCTGGAGATGAGGGGTTTGGGGTGTAGAAGGGTGCTCTGGGCTGGGACTGAGGGGTTCAGAGGGCAGGAGGGGGATCAGGGCTGGGGCGAGGAGTTGGGGCATGCTGAGGGAGTGAAGGCTCTGGCTGCGGGTGCAGGCTCTAGGGTGGGGCTGGGGATGAGGGGTTTGGTGTGCAGGAGGATGCTCCAGGCTTGGATCGAGGGGTTTGGAGGGCAAGTGGGGGCTCTGGGTTAGGGATGAGAGGTTGGGATGCAGGGGATGTGTGAGGGCTCTGGCTGCGGAGTGCAGATTCTGGGGCAGGGCTGGAGCTGAGGGGTTCAGAGGACAGGAGGGGGGATCAGAGTTGGGGTGGGGGCCCAGGAGGGGGGCAGGGGTGCAAGCTCTGGGTGGCACTTACCTCAAGCAGCTCCCGGAAGCAGCGGCATGTCGCCACTCCAGTTCCTGTGCAGCCAGGCGGGTCTGCATGCTGCCCCATCTACAGGCACTGCCCCAGGAGCTCCCATTGGCTGCAGTTCCCGGCCAATAGGAGCTGTGAGGGAGGCGCTTGGGGTGGGGGCAGCATGTGGAGCCCACTGGCTGCCCCTATGTGTAGGATCCAGAGAGGGGACATGCTGGCTGCTTCCTGGGAGCTGCACGGTGTGGAGGCTATCGGAGAGCCTGCCAGCTCCGTTGCACGGTGCCACCAACTGGACAGTCAACAGCCTGGTCAGTGGTGCTGTCTGGAGTCACTGGCATCCCTTTTCGACTGGGTGTTTCAGTCAAAAACCGGACACCTGGTCACCCTAGAATATAATCTAGGTGTTCTGACTCCTAATCCAGTGTCTAACTGCTGAACACACCAAGAATTGGGCATCCCTGGGCAGCCAAGCTACCTCTAGATAGATCTTCTCCATTTCATAAAATGTGTTAGATAGTAATGTAAGTAGGCAACAGTGCTTAATGTCTGACATTTACAGATTAACTAGTCAAGAAATGAAGATTATCTGCTCTTCTGAGTAGGAAAATGTATCAATAATTAACAGAGTGAAATTGGCATGAAAGATTAAACTCAATAAGAGACATGACAGAGTGTGTAACTACAGTGGCACACATTCATTTCTTATGGGGCTGAGCAGGCAGACAACTTTTGGCCTTGTGCCTCAAGACTTACCTAAATGGTTGGGTTCACTACAGAACCCTGTAACACTCCATTGTGAGCTTCCAGAGTGGTCCTTGTGTTAAAGGGAATATTTTTCAGCACTGTGAATAAACTACTTTTTCATTAAGGGTTTGCCTTTGCAGTTATAGAAAACAGTCATATAACTGAAGAAATTAGTGAACACAAAATGCTCCTTTAAAAATAAGTTTTACATATGACTATAAATAAGGCAGAGACTACAGACATTTACAGGATTATTAATTTTATAATCATACAATCATCATTGCATTTTACACCAGTTACCCAAAATCCTAAGATCCTTACTTAATTTACTCAAAAATGTCAATTGGCTTCTGTAAAAGTTTTACCTGCGTAAGGACCTTGGGCTCTGGCCCATTAAGAATAAGATTGTTTATAATCAGAGATTTGGTAAAACTTGTGTGCATATAATACATATCACCTATCGGTGTTATCCTACTCATTGCTGTGGTATCTGAATATCTTACATCTGAGGATCTAAAGTGCCATACAGGCATTAATGAATTAAGCTCAATACTGCTGCAGGGCAAGTAAGCATTATCTTTGTTGTACAGCAAGTGAAACTGAGGCACAGATAGGGGAAGTGACTTGACCAAAAATCACACAGAGTGTTAATGGTAGAGTGAGTGAATGGTAGAGCTGAGAATAGAAAATAGATCATCTAACTTCCACTCTGATTTTTTTTCCACAACACCCCCTTAATCTTTCATGACCCTAATGGGCTGTGGTTGTGTACCTGAATATGTGGTTTTATGCCTTGCAGTTCCTTATTCTAGCAGTCATGACTGAAACCACACCGTGTAATCCCTCTCAACTGTTTGACAGAGGAGCATCTGTTATTTCAGATACAAATTTGCTCCCCACCTACACCATCTTGTGATACCTTGCTTTCATTATCTTATATTATTGATAAAGTTTGATTAGAGAAGTTGAGATTTTACACAATGAGAGAGACAAGGTGGGTGAGGTAATATCTTTTATTGGACCAACTTCTGTGTGTGGAAGAGACATTGTTAAGCATAAGAGGTTCAATCTGTCCCACCTTGTATTTAGTTTTGACCTCTGATTACCTTCTCTATATCTGAAGAAGAACTTGGTGGAGCTCGAAAGCTTTCCCTTACACCAACTGAAGCTGGTCCAGTAAAAGTTATCCCTCATCTTGTCTCTCTCATATCCTGGGACCAATTTATTTACACTATCCAATTTCTACTACTCTTAAAGATACTTGTTTATTTTTTGTCTCCCATTTTGGGTCTTCATCCCTAATTGTGTCCCATGTTTAGGCACTGGGCGAGTTGAGAGGTTGATCATGTTACATAATTACCTCTGTAGTGGGGATATCACCCTGAATCCATTTACATTCATCAGAACTAACTGCCTTAGGGAACAGAACTTTCTCAGCTAAAAGTTTTGTTTTTCTATTAAAAAAAAAAAAAAAGTAAGACAAGAGGCAGGTAAAGCAGCAACTCACATCCTCCATGGCCCCTCAGTGCAGGGAGATAATATGGGGCTCAGTCAGACTTTCAGGTGGATTTTTCAGTGTCTTTCTGACCCTTTCTCTCCTAATTTTCTCCCAGGTTCTATTGGTTTCTTCTTCCCTTTTTCTTTCCTCACGTCCCTAACATTGTGCTCTTGACACGATATCTAGCTTTCTGTTAACATTCCACCCTGCCTGTTCCCAGTCTCTCACCTTTTCAAGGGCCCCCTTATGTTGTCTCTGTGCTCTAGTAGTATCCTCTGAATTTTTGACTGCTCTGTTCCAGTTCGCCAGTTCTAGCCAATGCGCTGAAGGGCCTAATACCAACTGTGCCTCCATATGTCCATTCCCAACTACCCAATCCCCAACTATTTACTTCTTAAACAGTCACTTTCCGAGATGTCCCAACTGCCATTCTTACACCTGTCCATTTTCATGTCAGTCTTCCAATATCTTCTTTGGATTTAACTATTCAAATATATTTCCTGGTAGGCCGGCATCACACTAAAGAGAAAAAATATTACTCCGTGTGTAACCCATTATTAGTCTGCTTTGAATAAGCCTTGTTGCACTGTAAAAGGTTATGTTGCAGGCTGGTGGTGCTTGCCTGAAACACCATGCTCTGTTACTGTTGGAGATGTTGATCCTATTGGGAAAGGCTTAGGAGGGTTCCGCCAGCTCAGAGGCAGGTAGCTCCTTATTTCCCCTGGACATAAGAGAGATGAGTTACTTTCTGAGGGTCTAGGCTAAGCAGTTTTGAGGTAGGAACCCTAGGAGCAACTAAGCCTAAGGAACAAGCTTAAACAGAGCTATTGTTAGTATCTTTGTTAATTAAACCAAAACCTACAAAGGGGTGAGTTTTTAGCCAGATACAATATGTGCCCTTAAGTTTAGAACCAACTGGACAAGCACCTACACATGTATGTTTTACACCAGTAATAGAACTAGGAATTATTTGGTCCTGTGGGTTGGTTGTTATGTTAGTCTTAGTAATCATGTTTTCAGGATGGTTATTGACTTTTTTTTTTAAACAGGACAGGAAGTATCATGTGATCAGAGCTGTGGGGAGACACCCAAAGGTTTGGACTGTGTTTTTGTGCAGCACTAAGTCCTTGTGGTATATCAGAGACCCACAGGCCTCTCCACAAGAGCCACAGAACATACTTATTAGGTAAGAGGTGGGTGGGAATCCACTTTTAGGTAGTACTTTAAATTTATTTTAAGAGCTAGTGTAACCGCTCTTTGTAAAGCCCTCAGTTCCTTGGACTGCTTAAGAAACTAAATTTTCAATACACAATAAACCAAACAAGTATCTATAGTAAAGAGCTTCCCCTTTAAGGGATAGTAACTTTTCCTTTATTAGTTGTCCTCCAGAATCATTTGGCTTCCAGGTCCTGTGGATCCTCCCCTTAGGCTAGGGAGAGGTCGTTTAGCAGGATCACTTTAGCACTTCCTGGATCCCAATAGGACCAAGAAGCCACTATTTACCCAACCTGATCTGTTTTATATACATATTAGCTACAGCTGCCCTGCCCTCTTACCTTGAGCTCTGAAGGGGATTCCTCAGGGTCCAAGCTCCCTTTCTCCATGCAACATTTGCTTTGATTTATTTGGGAAACTGGGGAGGGTTATGCAGCCAAGAAGGCCTATTTTAAGGGCCCAGAGAGCCTGCACTGCTCATCACAGTCCACCTTTTTGTTTACTGATAAGATTTACAGATCCACCATGTCACTCATATGGAGGGAGATGTCTTCCTTTTGTAGTTTTAAAACCGTTATCTTTTTATGAAGAAAGATTTTGCTGTGTGCTTCAGTGAGACATTTAAAAACTCTCTCATCCAACCTTGAAATCTTCCTCATACAAATTGTCATAGTTTTATTGCCTTGGAATTGCAGCTGGAGGAAGAACTAAGAGTGGGGTCCCTAGGTGCTATGGTAATACAAACAACAGCCATAATAAGAAAAGGAGTACTTGTGGCACCTTAGAGACTAACCAATTTATTTGAGCATGAGCTTTCGTGAGCTACAGCTCACTTCATCGGATGCATACCGTGGAAACTGCAGCAGACTTTATATACACACAGAGAATATGAAACAATACCTCCTCCCACCCCACTGTCCTGCTGGTAACAGCTTATCTAAAGTGATCATCAGGTGGGCCATTTCCAGCACAAATCCAGGTTTTCTCACCCTCCACCCCCCCACACAAATTCACTCTCCTGCTGGTGATAGCCCATCCAAAGTGACAACTCTTTACACAATGTGCATGATAATCAAGTCAGGCTATTTCCTGCACAAATCCAGGTTTTCTCACATCCCCCCCACCCCCATACACACACAAACTCACTCTCCTGCTGGTAATAGCTCATCCAAACTGACCACTCTCCAAGTTTAAATCCAAGTTAAACCAGAACATCTGGGGGGAGGGGGGGTAGGAAAAAACAAGAGGAAACAGGCTACCTTGCATAATGACTTAGCCACTCCCAGTCTCTATTTAAGCCTAAATTAATAGTATCCAATTTGCAAATGAATTCCAATTCAGCAGTTTCTCGCTGGAGTCTGGATTTGAAGTTTTTTTGTTTTAAGATAGCGACCTTCATGTCTGTGATTGCATGAATGTACGTACATTGGTCAAACTGGACAGTCTCTACGTAAAAGAATAAATGGACACAAATCAGATGTCAAGAATTATAACATTCATAAACCAGTCGGACAACACTTCAATCTCTCTGGTCACGCAATCACAGACATGAAGGTCGCTATCTTAAAACAAAAAAACTTCAAATCCAGACTCCAGCGAGAAACTGCTGAATTGGAATTCATTTGCAAATTGGATACTATTAATTTAGGCTTAAATAGAGACTGGGAGTGGCTAAGTCATTATGCAAGGTAGCCTGTTTCCTCTTGTTTTTTCCTACCCCCCCTCCCCCCAGATGTTCTGGTTTAACTTGGATTTAAACTTGGAGAGTGGTCAGTTTGGATGAGCTATTACCAGCAGGGGAGTGAGTTTGTGTGTGTATGGGGGTGGGGGGGATGTGAGAAAACCTGGATTTGTGCAGGAAATAGCCCGACTTGATTATCATGCACATTGTGTAAAGAGTTGTCACTTTGGATGGGCTATCACCAGCAGGAGAGTGAATTTGTGTGGGGGGGTGGAGGGTGAGAAAACCTGGATTTGTGCTGGAAATGGCCCACCTGATGATCACTTTAGATAAGCTGTTACCAGCAGGACAGTGGGGTGGGAGGAGGTATTGTTTCATATTCTCTGTGTGTATATAAAGTCTGCTGCAGTTTCCACGGTATGCATCCGATGAAGTGAGCTATAGCTCACGAAAGCTCATGCTCAAATAAATTGGTTAGTCGCTAAGGTGCCACAAGTACTCCTTTTCTTTTTGCGAATACAGACTAACACGGCTGTTACTCTAAAACAGCCATAATAGAAATAGGAGTATGTTTTCCCACAGACTCATAATTTTCTGGCACCTGACTACTGATTGAAGGTTGTGTAACCCACTGGGCCTGTAATCTGCAGAGGACATGAGTTGTTACATTCTCCTCAGCTAGAGTTTTAGCTCAAGCTGCAGTGGCCTATGCTTTTAGTTACACTGGGAAATCCCTGGTTCAATCTCTGCAGCGCATCCGCTGCCTTGCAGTGGGCAATCATGATTCCCCAGCCTCTCTCCAGCCATGCCTAGTTGGTAGGAAAGAGGAAACCCTTGAAGATATTTTATTTTCTCTTAATGTCTCTGAAGCAACTGGAGCTGCTCTTTGACTGGCGTGTTTCCATTCCCCCCTCCCCGTGCAGGTTGCCAAGCAAAGGCACCTAGTAGGAGGTTGGAGACTGAGCGAAGGATAGGAGCAGGCGGGGGACAGCTTCCCTCCAGTGTTGTGCCAGGGCATCTCTAGGGTGGCCCACTCTAACCACACGGCAGACAGCGCAGCGTGCCAGCTACCCACATCCCACGCCTTGAGGCTTAGGTGAGGCCTAGGGAGGCTGCGCGGCGCAGAGGGCGGTGCTGACGCCTAGGGGGCGCTATGGCGCTCCGCCCGCAGACCCACTAGCTCTGTGACTTTGAGGCTCGTCCTCCTCGGCTTGGAGAGGCGGTTTTATGAGAGGGAGGGGCTAGGGCGCAGTTTCGTGTGCGGGCGGGGCTCTCCTCTGGAGGCGGTGGCTTTGGGGAGAGGCGGAGTTATCTGCCGGAGCGTGGGTAGGACTTTGGGCGTGGCTTTGGCTCGTAAGTGGGCGGGGCTATGTTCCGGCGGTGGCCGGCTCCTTCGGCCTGCTGTGGGAACTCGGTGGGATCTCGCGAGTGCTGCCAGGCTCCCGCGAGGCTGTGCGCCTGCGCAGTGCTGGGGCTGAGGAGCGGGGCCGGGGTGGCTGGTCGCCGAGCGGGCGGGGATCGTCGCCAACATGAGCGGGACATTGGCCAAGATCGCGGAGATAGAGGCTGAGGTACCTCCCCTCCCCCCACCCGCTGACGGGGAGGGCCGATCTGCCGGCTCCCCGGGGAGCGGCCGGAGGCGGCTGGCTAGGCCAGCTGCCGGTCTCCCGGTGCCGGGCGCTGCGCCCGGCTGCTGCCCCCTCCCGGCCCCGGGAGGCCGTGGTGCTCCCTGCGGGAGGCCAGGCTCCGCGCCGGGGTGACGGCCCCGCAGGCTGCTGATGGGGGATCAGGGCTCCTGGGTTCTCCGGCCTACTCGGGCGGCTGGAGGGTGCGGGGGGCTCCGCGGGCAGAAAGTGCCGGGCCCTGGCCTCCCCCCGGCTGCCTCCCCGGTGGGTCAGTAGCGTCGCGCTGTGACTTTCCGCAGATGGCCCGGACGCAGAAGAACAAGGCAACGGCTCACCACTTGGGGCTGCTGAAGGCTCGCCTGGCCAAGCTGCGGCGGGAGCTCATCACTCCGAAAGGAGGCGGCGGCGGCGGCCCCGGAGAAGGTGGGTCGCCCCTCGGGGGCGCCGCTCCAGAGGCGTCACTTCCCGTTTCCGGGGGCAGTGTGTGGCGGTAGCTGAACCAAAGGGGCGTCTGTTGACTTTTGGGTGCCCTAACTTGCTCCTAGGGTTTGTCTACACGGCCGCTGGGAGGGCGCTCCGCGGTGCTGGTGGACAGACTCACTGGATCCGCTCCAGCGAGCTACTAAAATTGGACTTGTTAGTCTGTATTCGCAAAAAGAAAAGGAGGACTTGTGGCACCTTAGAGACTGAATCCGATGCAGTGAGCTGTAGCTCACGAAAGCTCATGCTCAGATAAATTGGTTAGTCTCTAAGGTGCCCCAAGTCCTCCTTTTTGTAAAATTGGACTGTGGCACTGCTGCAAAGCGTGTCCCCGATAGTCTCAGAATAGTGGTGGCAGCTACAGCGAGGAACCAAGTGAGGTTTTTTTTCTTTGTTAGATACAGAGCCTCAGACAGAAATTGCTTTAATCTCTAGGTATTTGGTATGTAGATTTATTGAGGATGTAGTGAAAGGGCTGCATTAGCAGAGACCTGAGATTGGCAATTAATGGAGCACCTTGCAGTAGCCCTCATTTTTAAATGTGAAAGTGTAGTCCATGTTAAGTACATCGGTGAATATGGAGTATCAATTCTGAGAGGAGTAGGTAGACTGTGCCTCTATAGTAAAGCTACATGGACTACATTTCCTTCCCTTGGAAAGTATACGTCATACTAATGGGCCTCCTCTCCAACATCAGAGGACCTTTGAATTTTCTTGTTAATTTTTTTTATTATGTTGTAGGTTTTGATGTTGCAAAGACTGGTGATGCTCGAATTGGGTTTGTGGGTTTCCCCTCAGTGGGGAAATCTACTCTTCTGAGTAACCTTGCTGGTGTGTATTCTGAAGTGGCAGCATATGAGTTCACCACACTAACTACTGTGCCTGGAGTCATTAGATACAAAGGAGCAAAGATACAGGTGAGAACATTTTGCTCACAAGGAGGGGTGTATAGCTTGGCTCTGGCTGTAGCTGAACTATCTAGTCTGATGTTAATAAGTTAGAGGTAAAGTAGTATATGGGAATGTTTTGAGAAGACACGTCTAAAAACCTTTTTTTGAGTTTTAACTTTAAGCAGTTGTCAGTACTTCTCACTGTGCTTCAGTGGGAAAGTCCTACAGCAGGGGAGTTCTTCCTCATTTCATATAACACAAATCACCATGTTTCATTCCACTAGTACAGAAAGGGAATTAAAGTTTGGGGTGTTGTGGTGGATAATCAATCAGCTGAACATGAGCTCCCAGTGTGATGCTGTGGCCCAAAGGGCTAATGTGATCCTTGGATGGACAAATGGGAAATCTCAAGTAGGCGTATAGAGGTTCTTTTACTTCTGTGTTTGGCACTGGTGTGACTGCTGCTGCAACATTGCATCCATTTCTGGTGTCCGCAATTCAGCAAAGATGTTGATAAATTGTAGAGAGTTCAGAGAAGAGCTACAAGAATGAATAAAGGATTAAAAAACATTCCACGTAGTGATAGACATAAGGAGGTCAATC